TTAACAAGTCTAATCTCACGGTTAGACGTGTCATTTTTCAGTAAAGACACATTGTTAATCTCAAGTTTAGACTTGTCATTTTCCAATAAAGACGTGTTATTTTCAAATAAATTATGATCATTTTTAATTAATGTACATGCTACTTCTTGTTATGTATCAAGAAAAGGCATATTGTTAATATCATGTTTAGACGTGTCATTTTTCAGTAAAGACGTGTCATTTTCAAATAAATTATTTCCATTTTTAATTAATGTACATGCTACTTCTTGTTATATCAGGAAAAGTTGCTTTGTTAATATCAAATTTAGACTTGTTATTTCTCAGTTAAGACTTGTCATCCTTAGGTAAATTGTTGTCACGGACTGGAGTCACAGTGAAAAAGTCAACTTATATTTTTGTTTGCATTATAAAGTTAACAAGTCTTTGATAGCCCAATGGTTATCTACGTTTTTGTTGGCCCAAATGGCCAAGGGGTTGTGGGATCAAATCCCACCCCCGCCATTTCTTGCAATATTCTCTTATACAAAAAAAAACAATGTTGCAAAAAAAAAACTCCACTGGCAGCTACCACACCGGTGGCCGGCGCCCGGCGGCGGCTGGCCGCCGGTGAGGGGTTGAGTTTTTTTTTTAAAAAAAAAAAGACAAAGGGTATTTTTGTCATTTCACTGAATTTTAAAATTCCAATTTGGGAATGACTTCCCTCTCTGTCATTACATTTCCTTAGCTTCTTAAATTGGAATTTCACAAATTCCACCTTCTTTATCTGTCATTTTCCCTTTAAGGAAAATATTCGCATAATATTTATTTTACAAAATTTGAAGGAAAAATTACAACGCAATCTCATATGAGCATTTTAATTATTAAAAGAATACTGCAGCAACATGTAATAATGAGTTCAGGAGGAGCAGGAAATGACAATAGAGGCATATTACTCACTTATCATAATTATTTATATGAATTTAATGCGGTGATTTGCCTGATTCCATCCAAGGAAATAAATAATCAAATAAAAAAAAGTGGTTGGGTTAGGAGGAAAATAAATTGTGCCAACCAGAATAAAATAAGAAATACACTATGATATACCAGACCATAATAACAACTGGCCTTTTAGGTTGCTTTTCTGCGTCGATCAATTATAGAAAGCTGGTAAAACATAACAGTGCGCAAATCTGTTATGCAACGAAGTTATGAAAATAACATTTTTATATTAAAAATTTGAGTTATTCATAAGTCATTTTTTATTTTATTATTTAAATTTAATATGTTTATTTGATATGATGCTCATCCCTATTATATTATTAGTGGCACATATATTAAACAAGAAGATCTTATGCTTTGTTGTGTAGTTTCAGAAAACGTTGGAGATATATGTTGTTTAATTTTTATTTTAAAAGAGTTTTGTGTAAATTTTAAGAACAGAAAGGAGAATAAGTGGGGACTTCATTATAAGAAATTTTATTTGTTTAATTATCAAATTATTCTTATCTTTTTTTTTAAGTATACATTGATAACTGAAAGTATAGTCGTTAACAACTTAAAGTATAATGATTAACACTTATAGTGACTAATATTAACAACTCATACATCATATTTTTTGTAATTGGCTGAAAAAATATATTGTTAATACTTGTCACGGTAGTTGTTAATCGTTGCACCTTAAATTGTTAAATGATTATTCTTTCAGTTGCTAATGCATACTTAAAAAATAAATAATGATAATTTAGTAATTAAATAAATAAAATCTTAAAGTCTTTTGAAATTTTAGATTAATATGATGATTTCAAAAGATATTTTATATTCAATTTTTTAGGTGGCATCTTATCACAAATTTTTCATGATTTTTTTTGGGTGTTTAATATATTGGAGTTGACATTAATGTGATAGGAAATATTACCTTCCAACAATTATTTGGATGGTTTTTTTTATTAATTTATCGCACAATCACCTGATCAAGGGACAAATATTCTTACTCAGTGTTCCCTACACGTAACTGAATTGGGAGATAGAACTGGCAGCTAAGCAGCCGCCATAAAATAGTGCGCCTACCACTTCCCCCACTTGAAATATTTATTTATTAAGTGGATAATGATTCTTATTCACTCCCTTGCACTTGGCAAATTCTTGACTCATTGGTGTGATCCTGGGAAAGTTACCAAATTGAAAATATGTCTAAATATAATGAATATATTTTTCACCACTACTTTGATTTAATATAAACTTTTTTATAGTGTAAATCATAAATATAGTTATCAAATATTAGCTTAGCTCATTATAACTTGGTAGCATAATGCGAGGGCGCATATTTAAAATTATTTATATATAATTTCAAGCTGTTAGTGTTAGTTCTTTCAAAAAAGAATTGTTATGATGTTTCAAGCAAGGAATATAATTACTAAAAAAAATCTCAGTAACGAACAACCCGTATTAGTAAGTTTCATAATAATAAATGACAACTGCTTACTTATCATTTCTACTCACTGATAATCATTTTATTTTTTTTGAAAACTTATTGTAATTCTCTCAAAAAATGCGAATATAAATATCACACTTCTGTCACTAATATTGGTCAAAGGAATGTCAATGTTACCGCCCTACCCTCATTAGCAAAAGAAGAAAAAAAAAACTAGTTACTTATATCAAGTTTCTCATACCCATTATATCAAGTTGTGTCATATTTTTAAAATATTATTATTTAATTATAAATCCGCATGAAATAAACAAAATACATGATCACATGTGATTAGAGAATTCGATAGAATGGATATAAGAAATTTGACCTCAATTTTTTTCCCAAAAAAAAAAATCACCCCTACCATTAAATGTTTTTATTTTTATTTTAATCTCTAACCTAACTTAATTAATTAAGACGTACGTGCCATCTTATCTGATCGTTACGTTCTGGGTTCCAGCCTAACTAAATTAAGACCCAGCATATCTTTTGCGTGGGCATATGGGGCATGCAATAACCTTATTCAGTTTAATTAAATGCTAAGTATTTCAGATAACATTAATATTTTATTTACAATTAAAAATTATGATAATTAAAGAATAAAGAATCAATTAAAGTGCACGTGGATATAAACATCATATTTATTTGTGATTAAACAAATTGGGCGTTTTTGTTTTGGATATATAATAAAATTTATGATAATTAAAAGCATACCTAATCATGCCAACCCCTTATTTTAATGTTTACTCCTTATTTGATGTTGTAACAGCAGGAAATTAAAATGCTTTCAAAGATATTACATCCGGTCCTACTTATATGATCTTGTTTATAGTCTACAAACGATGTTTTATAATTAGGACCGAAAGTAATATTTTCATCAACTGTGAAGTTAGTTAATTTGATGCTATATTATTATTTATGACTTGGTTATTTTAATACTTTTTATGCATTATAAAGCCAGAATTAAAACTATTATTAATTGCTCCCATGTGATAATAATTAACACATTCAGGGTCACATCCTACAAGATTAGCCTTAAAATCATTAAGAAAGATTCTCAAATTGCTATGAGAAGGAGATTCTCTGGTTGCATTATAAGAATTTTTGTTATCATAGTTTAATTTGCCCATTAAATTCTTTTCCCTAAGAACATCAGAGATCAGAATGATCAATACGGAAAGATACCCTTAGGGCATAATCTGATTTAATTTGAAGATTCTATTTCTTCACACAATACTCATGTCATGTTCTTCTCCCCATTATAACCGTACGTCATCTCATCATTCCGTGAGCTTTTTTTTTTTTTTTTTTTAACCTTTTCCTTCAATTTGATCTCCTCTATGTAACTGCTCAGGCCTCGTTTGGTTAGGTTAAGTAGAGAGAAAAAAGTTAGATTCCCAAAAGGCCAAAACAAACACACACACACACACACATCTTGCTTGGTTTCAAATAAAATATAATACTCCATCTTTTTAAGAAAATGACTGTAAGCTTATGAAAAATGCAAAATCAACTAAATAACTTATATATTATTTTTTTTTTGAAAAGTTAACTTTCCAAAAGGCTACGTGATTGAGCCAAGTGAGGCTGCAGTCAATTGATAAAAATAATCTAAGTAAATTTATACAAATAAAAAACGACCATAACGTTGAAATTAAATATAAATTGTAATCTTCCCTTCATAAAATTATATCTATTAATAAGGTTCCAATTTCAATGAATTAATTAAGCCGCAACACGCAACAAAATATGGAGCTTGAGATATACTACCCTCGATCCTTAATATAAGACCCTGTTTAACTTTTATTTTGGTTTTAAATATAAGACCTCAATCTACTTTGTCTCTCATATTTATACATTTTTTTCCAAAATAGCCCTTCTAACAATGATAGTTTTAGTCAATACACTTGATTAGTAAGGATATTTTAGGAAAGACGATACCTATTTAGGACAAATAACCAACTTAACTTATTTTCTTAATCTCCTTAAATTAGTCAATTGACTTTTATAATTAGGACCAGAGGTAGTGTGTAAAATATTCTAAATCATGACATTATTTACAAGTTAAATACATGAAATCAGCTTCCTACTCCTGCTCAATTTATATGTTGTTATTATTAGATATTGGATTATTCATAAATTTGTTTGTGCGTTAATGCATACAGAATATAGTTAGAAATATATATATTTACATAAAGAATAGTAAAAAGAATAAGCTTTTAGAAAATATGTTTTAAAAAAAAAAAAAAAAAACACAACCTACAAACGGCAGACACGAAGTCTGCGTTTTGGCAAACCCGGAATACTGTTTTATACGCGGGGGCAGTCTAACGATGACGTTTCGCTCATATCCTCCTGCTACTGTTTGAGAAAGTCAGCAGAAGTACCATCAGGGCACGAGGAAGATGAAAGCAATCTCAACCGTCCATCTTTATCAATAAAATGTGCAATAATTTTCCTCCGATATCACTCCCTCTCTTTATTTATAGCTCCCTTTCACTTTCACCTTCATTTTTACCTCTCAAGCTTCGCTGAACCAAAAAGTGCAAAACCAGAGAGAGAATGAGTGACCTTAAACGCAATGCTTCTTCATCACTTGCGGCTATGGAAGCTTCTATTGAAACTTCCGTGTCCAAGAAAATGAAATCCGACTTCGGTTCTTGTCAACCGCAGTTGCCTTCTTCCGGTGTTCAGCTCCGAAGCTCACAGTTGGCAGACACGGCGATTTCTCCGGCTACCTCTGTGAATTCCACTGCAACTAAGGTTTCCGGAGAACATTTTTCTGGTCGGTTACCGCTTTCCTGTTCCTCGGTATCCAGCGCTAATGTTGAAACCATCGATGCTATGGGAAACAGCACGGCCACGGCGTTGGATCCGGAGGTGCAGTTTCGAATCTCTGTTTACGTTACAGTTTGGTCTTTTTTTTCATCCTTCCGCGTTATGTCTTTCAAAAGTTTCTTTTGGTTGCTGAGAATTTGAATTCTCACAATAGCATAAATGTTTGTTTCCTTCTGTTGCGTAGATTTTATCCTTAAATCCTCCATAGCACGAAACTACGAAAGGAATGTAAGATATATAGTTATCTGGTTGAACTATTGATATTTTCTCTCTTCTTTTGTCCTGTATTTTCTTCGTAGCCAAGCAGTTTCCCAGAGTCATTGCAAGTTTATGTTTCTATCCTATTCGAATTGCCGTTATTGACTAATTAATAAGCATATTTCTAATATTAATTCATACATTTTCTAAACTCGATCCTGCAGACCAGCGTTTTAGAAATGGCAGGCTCAGCTCCTAGCAACGTCAAATTATTCAGGTTTGAAATAGCTGTTTCTTCAACTCTCAGTGCGTAAGCGCAATTTTCTGAAGAGGAATGGCCATCATAACCTTTTCTTTTTAAAATTATATGGCATGTGTAGCAAAGACAGGTACTCGTTGAACGAGTTTTACGGAGACTCGGAAGAAATGACGGTGTTTCCGGTGAAGTCCTCAACGGAAGCCAGTGAGCATCGGAAGTTTGCGGCGACAAAGATGGCGCCAGAGGAGGAGATTGAAGAGTTCTTCGCAATGGCGGAGAAATACGAGCAAAAGCGGTTCGCGGAGAAGTGAGTGTTAAATTTGTGGTGCGCAGGATAAGGAGTGTGATCCCCAAGTGCTCACGATAGCAGAATCAAACCCCTAACTAACTAACAACTTTCCCTTTTTCTGCAGGTACAACTATGATATTGTTAAAGATATGCCATTGCAAGGTAAATATGAATGGGTTCGTTTAATTTGAAGCCATGAAAGTGCCTTACGGAATTGATCGTGCCACTTCCGGGGCTTCTGTTGAAGAGGACGTAGATTTGCTGGATTTTGTACAGCTAACACGTTGAATAGAAGTAAGAAAGCTACGATTCTCTACGACATCGTTTAGGGCTTTGATGGAAACTTCCTTTTTCTACAGAATGTGAAAGAAAAACATTAACTTAGATAAAGACAAGTCCCCATTAATTTTGTGCCTTAATTGCATTTGAACCTCTCTTCTATATGAAAGTTTCTGGAGGATATGCACTTGAGGCTGAGCTAAACCCTTGGGGTTGCTCAAAAATGGGTAATTTTTGTAATGAAAGGAAAAAAGTTTGTCTTTATTTTAATTTTTGTTTAAGTCTCCAAATGCAGGTATCTTTTTAAAATGTGGGGTTTGCTTTTGGACGTTTTAGAGAGTGATTCTTTTTGAGCTTTCCGCGCAGCTTGAGACGATCTTTTTATGGGATTATTCTCTTTCATGGACACGTTTGGGAACATCCTCTCCATCCCAAGCAATGATTCCATGTTTTTATCCCCTTGCTTTGTGGGGACCATGTGCCCTTCCTAAAGAAATGCCTGCATATCAAACTAATTTAGGTCCTTCGTTCACTGTTAATGATTGCAAGAATCATAGGGTACCGATATGGACAATATTAACCCTTTGCTTAGAAATAGAACAAAAGCATATCATCCCCACCCTACATCCCAACCATTTTCATTTCTATGACCCCATTACCCCCATAGGCCACAGCTAGACTGGTCGTTACATCCAGATTCTTTGGTCACACCTACACTGGTCGTTATATCCAGATTCTCGGACATGACATGTGTGGTCCATTTCTCGTTACTTATGTAGTAATAATAAACATTTTATTCAGCAAGCTGGACGGTTAAATTTCAAAGAGGGTAATATTTGAATGTGTTGTGTTGGAATGTCTTGTCAATTTTCTAATAATGTATGGATGGAGATCATCATTGTGCTTATACGACATCCCACGTATGGTAACGTTAAAAGCACTGCTGTGAAGTGAGAAAGTAGGCAATCGGTGCCTTGAAAGCAAGAATTATAATAATTGATGATCAGGTAAAGAAAGAGTACTGATCAGAGCCAAAATGTGAAGCAAATGAGCAAAGAGGCAAAAGGAAAGCAGCTTTTGTTTTGTGGGGTTTCATAATAATTATTATAAACTAAAGGGTTCGCCAGAAAAAGGGGGAAGGAAGGAGGGTGACATAATAATACTTGTTTTAATGGAGATGAAGAAGGGAAGTGTGACAGAAGACATTGTCGGAATTACAAGAAACAGCGTACATACACACATAGACCCCTCCATTATCATTATTTTGTCCCCACTGCCAACAATTCCACTCCCTTTACCTCTTATCCCATTCCCTCTCATCATTCTTCTTCTCTGCGTGGTAGGGTTTGCTTTCCGTCCTTCTTTACCCATTAATAAGCACATCCATGTTGTTATCAAAAATGACAAAACAATAGAGAAGGTTAGGGGAAATTTTTCTCATTAAAAATTTTATTAATGATTATTAATACTTTCCGTGTATAAATATCTATCAATTCTTTCCTATCAACAAAATTTTTGAAAAAAAAAAACCATCGAGGAAAATAAGTAAAAGGGTATTATCATTTTTTTTCCCATTTCACAAAAAAGCTTTCGACGCTGCTGGGGAGTATATTGGTGCACAAATGTCAATAAACATAATTATGTTTAGTTAATGTTTACAAAATAATTTTTTTCTTTCTTGTTCTACCCATAATTAATATAGTTATTACCTATGATATACCACAAAATGATTATATTTGATAAGAGAAAGCGTTCTCAAAGCGTGTTGTAATGGTGGGGTATTTGTTTTCATGATATTACTTGATCTGATTATATAAAATGGTGTTTATCTACCATCTTTTTTAAACATAAAACAAAGAAGTGCAATATAGGCATTACTTAACATGCTTCTAATCTGTACTCAACAGGAAATAAAAGTTTCAACTATGGATTCTACCAAATACATATATTGGCACTGCCATGGTGATTAATAAGCATGGAAGAAAATAATAATGGCCGCATGATTAATAATAAAGGCAATTAGGATGGATGAAAGAGTAGCAAAGTGCGTTCAAATCATCATCAACATGTTTTAATTAATGATGCTTATTAAAGACGTGATGGTAATGAAATGACTTTTGAGCTTTTGGAAGGAGAGATCCAGAATATCTTTCCTTTTTTTCTTCTTCTTGTTTTTTTTAACTTCCCAATATACTTCTTTTTCCTTTTCTCTACATGCATCTAATCAAGCATATATAACTTAAAAATATTACAATATTAATAGTTTGAAAACCCTTAAAATGAAATCACTGTATTAACATTTGTCATTGTTCATATTTTTCAAGGTAATTCATGTCAAATCAAAAAGTGTACTTCTCGGGGTATACTATTACAACATTTTCTAATCAAGAAGTGTACTTCTCCGGGTTCAAATTTGTTAGTTGTAAAAAAAATTTGTTTCTAAATATAAATTACTTATAGGATGATTAATGAGTTTTCCCCCCAGTTTTATCCTTGTTGACTTCATAAATGCATAGAGCTACTATAAAGTAAATATATGGGAAAAAAATACAAAACATATTTTTGATACTCTTTTTTTAATAAGGGCAAATGGAGAAAAATTATCAATTTAATATATTTTTTGGTTTGCGTATTTGAGATACAAGTGACTTATAAATAAGAACAAAGTGATATGTTGTTCTTTAATTGTCTTTGGGATGATTTTATTTTTCTTTAAAAAAAAAGTAAGCAAGCTTTTGTTTTTGTTAGGCTTTATTTCACACCTCAGTTCAAGTAAATTGCTCTGGATTGGGCCCTCTTATAAATTAATATTATAATAAATGAATATTTATTTTGAAAAAACGTTGTTTGACATACCCATATTTATATGGAAGCTAAATATATAGAATAAACACACATGCACAAAATCGAGCCTTCTTTAAAACCCAATCCAGTTCGGGTAGATGCCTGAACTGCTAATAAATGTAATAATCTCATCTCCATGAAAATATTCATACTGTTTCAATTAAGATCTTTTTATATTTGTTTCATTACCGTGGTTTATCTTGCCACGCCAGTGCCAACACCACGTACTCACACACACACACGCTCTCTCTCTCTCTATATATATATATGTATTTATATATATTCCATCTCAATTGAAAATGAAATAATATTTTTAATATTACACACACACACACACTCATAGGAGAGAATGATATTTTTGTAGAAGATAAGCTCAACATGCTTTTCAGTTTTTGTTGCTTCCATTTTTTCTCTTCATTCTTCACTCTTAAATAAAGTAACATCGCTATCGTTCCATTTTCCGATCGATCTCCGGACAGTTCCATTTTTATTTTATTTTATTTTATTTTATCACTTTTCTATATTTTAATTTTTAATTTTTATATAAAACATAGAGCAAAAATCAAATTTTAACTCTAATTTTTTTTAAAAATAGTAATAGTGAATATTAAAAATTTTTAAGAAAATAGGCTGCCTAAATCTAATTAAAAATAATCCAGGAGTGCTTAGGATGATGGCATGATATTTCTATGCGTTTTCCGGAAGTAAAAATCACATCCTTATCATCTACTACCTCAAATTCTTACTCCTCCGGTCCTAATTATAAGACCCAATTGACTTATTTGAGGAGATTAAGGAAGTAAGTTAAGTTGGTTATTTATAATAAATAAGTGTTGTTATTCCTAAAATATCTTTGCTAATTAAGTATATTGGCTAAAACTATCATTATTAGAAGGATTATGTTGGAAAAAAATGCATAAATATAAGAGACAAAATGGATTGGGTCTTATAATTAGGACCAAATAAAAAGTCAAATTGGGTCTTATAATAAGGACCGGAGGAGTAATATAAGATCTTGTTTGACTTTTATTTTAGTCTTAAATATAAGATCTCAATCTATTTTGTTTCTCATATTTATGTTTTTTCTCAAAGATCGTCGTTCTAATAATAATAATTCTAATCAATATTTTTAGTTAGTAAGGATATTTTAGGAAAAAAACTTATTTATTACAAATAAATAACTTAATTTATTTTCTTAATTTACTCAAATTAGTCAATTAGCTTTTGTATTTAAAACCGGGGGTAGTATTATTTTGGATTTGTTTTACTGCATTCTTATACTGTATTAAAAAGAAGTATTCCTCCGGTTCTAAATATAAAACCCCTATATTAGTATGTATAAGGGTCTTATATTTAATATCAGAGGAGTATATAAATAGTAAATTACTGATTACTTATGAACTTTTAAACAATGCCACCATTCTGAAAACTATGGTTAAACTCCACCACGGTTAACTTTTTAAATTGAAGGAGCAAACACTTTGTGTGGATATGGAGAAAATGAGAGATAAAAGAATATTGGAAGGAAAAATTTTCAAATGTAGCAAGTCTTTTGACTATTCAATCCATCCAAACATAGCTTTAATAGCTAGAAGTTACAAACGGAATTGAGTTCACAGCCTTCCATTTTAACAAGAGCATCAATGCGGTTAGATTATAAGGCTTTTTGGCCAATCTTAGCCTTTTCTCTTGAAACAAAGATGAAAGAACTTTCACCTCACATATGCAAACCGGAATATTAATTGATTAAAATTTATATCCAGCTGGACAGCTCGTTTGCCAGAAGTACATGTATTTATATATATATAATATAATATAATATAATATAAAACTAACACAACGTGTGATTCATAGGTTATAAATTGTGCAACCCATCTTAAAATTCATAGAAAACATGTATTATAATTAGATAACTTTTGGAGCGGTAAAAACACTATTTAACATAAAAGCCAATATACAGCTTGCTGGCAATGAGTTAAACAACGTGCAAAATATTTTGCATAAAAAAATAAAAATTATAAAAATAAATATTTTTAGTCTATTATTCTATTAAATTAAATTTTAATTTGATCTTCTTAGTATTTCATGTTGGGGTGAACTAGAGTTTAAATTTTTGTTGAGACAGGAACCCATATTTAATAGGTAAAAAAAACTGTGTCTAGCATAAAAAATGAAGCAGGAAATTGACACCTATATATTGTTTATGACTTTTTCTAGACGTATATATAAATTCATAACAAAATTTTTTACTGCGACTAATTCAAACTAAAATATTAAAAGAGGAAGAACTTATAAAAAAAATTAAATGAGATCTTATATTTAAAATTAAAATAATTTTTTAACTAATTTTTATATTTAAAATCACGGAGTGTATTGTATTTTAGCCGGTTATTGCCTCTTCCTCTCCCATTAGAATCGACATGGTCATGAATCACGCATGACGCCTGCATTTTACTTATAATTAATTTATAACGAGAAAATAATGAGATAACGAGAAAGGATAGGAGGTGGAGAGAGAGCATTATCCTGGAAAGCGTAGTGGCGCGTGGTGAATAATATCGAGTGGTCCCATTCACATTCACAGGTTTCGCTTCGGCCATTATTCGCCTAAGCAAGGTGTGGAGAGAGAGAGGAGATACGCCAGAATTAGCATCGCCAGCCACCTAACCAACAATTCATCATGTGCTGCTCGCCAGAATTAGATGAACACTAGCCCCGATGATTCCCACCATCACTATTATCCCAAATCTTCAACTACCATAAAGTAACATTCTTTTATTTATTTTTTTGAATATTCGACCTGAAATTCTCAGAATCCTGAAATTTGAGCTGTTCTGAAAACTGGGTCTTCCTCGAGCTATGCCGAGAGGTGAACGCGGCGGCGGCTCCAGTGGAGGCGTCAGGGGTGGAAATATCTTCTGGGGGAGAAAGGAGGACACTGATTTCAAAGGAATCGTTGTAATCTTTGCTTGGGTTTCTGTTCAGGAGAGCCAACTATGGGATTATGTGGATTTGTACTCATCCTTAGGGTGGAATTCTCTTGTTTGTCATGCTCATTATATCTCTGCGTAAGTTTATTTCTGTTAATTTTTTTCTTGGTATGACTTTCGTGCGCCAGTTCCTCTCAACATTGCTAATTTGCTATTTCTCGTCAACTTTCCCTGAATTTGTTTCTCCATTGATGCAGTGACAAAGGCTCGGTGAATTCTCGTTCAATTTTATCTTTTCGATTTTTTTTCCGCCATTAGTTTTAGTTTCCTGCTGTGATAACTGTATGGGGTTTCTTGCTTGGATGTAGTTTTGTTGTTGTTCTTTAAGGTTTGAGGCTCCTTAGATTTCTTAACAAATGCTTTGATTGGTAGTAAAGGGCATTTTTTGGATAAATAAGCTGCTCAGATATGAAGATGTCATGCCTGGCCGTAGATGAGGATGAAATCTCACGACAGTCAAGTAGTCAACTGTCTGTCGAGTACAACTTGAATTAGGGGAACGAGGCTGTTGCATAGCATTCCTTGGTTTTGGAAATTATAATCATGCTCACTGCGGCCTGGCATGTTTTTAGTTTTTTTTGGATCGGTGTCAATAATTATTACGAGTTATGTTTCTTGCAATTCAAGTGTTTTTGGGTTTAAGAAAAGAAGTTGTCATTTATTTGATATAGCTGATTGTTAACACTGGCCTTCATCTCAGTCCAGTGTTTTGATGCTGTAAACATCGGAGGTCAGTGATGGACCCAAAGCTTGCCATTTGAGGGTGCAAAAGTGAACACCATGTAAAATATGGGGGGCTACAGTTAAATTTTACTCTTTTGTTTTGGATAATAAAATTAATTTTTTTAATAATATTAATTCTTTTTCTTAAGGAAGTTGTGAAATATAGTGCTTGCTCCCTTTGGATATGTCCTTGTCAGAGGTCCCTGCGTTATAACTCGTGACATGAAGGTGCATGTTGAGGTTGAGTTCACTTTGGATGTCCTATAACACACGGTGCTAGAGTCAATATGTTGATGAAGATTACTGAGCACACAAACACACACACACACACACACACACACACACACACTCTACATCATTTGAGGCCATTTTATGGACTTGCAGCACATACTAAACTATCTAACTATCAGAAAAGGCATGGGCAAGCCGGCAAGCAATGTATTTCACGTTCACACAAATACAAATCGAGGATATCTATGTATATTTGTGCCTGTACAGTTTGGCTAATATATAAATTGAATCACCGTTGGGAATGATTTGTAACTCTTGTAGGTTAGGCACCCAATGAAGGTTATCATCACCATTTGAGTAGAGGGGAAATATCTAAGACTTGTTATAGTATGTGTCTATGCGTGTAAATATTGTTTTGGAAGGTTTTAGTTTGTGGTCGAACTGTTGAAGCGCCCCTAATAAAGTTAACGTAGTTTACCTTCAAATATGATTAATGAGAGTGAGAATGGAAAAGTTTCTATAAGTGAATATGTCAGGATGAGAGTAAGGTGTCGGGCATGACTAAATGGTAGATTCTCAGTAACAAGGACTCTAGTACTTTTCTGTTAGCACATGTAGAGACATGCTTAATCGATAATCATTCAAAAATGATTTGAGTGGGCTATACTGTATTCAAGTGGCTTATCAGATGCCTTCTCACTTGAAGTGATTGGTTGGCATACTAATAGAATTCTCTAATTTATTGTTTTTCATTTTGTAGGTTTCATCATGAGAGTGCGCTGTCATTGGCAATTTCCGTTCTTGATGAACTCATCAAGGTTAGTATTAGAAATGGGAAGTTGTGCTAAGATTTCATTTGAGTTTCTCAGACATGAGGATGTTCAGGCTGCAATCTCCGGGTATAATTTGTTAGCTTTGTATCTGAGGTTTTGAGCAAACAGTTTCTTTGTGTTATGCAGGAGTTGAGGACAAGATCATGCCCTGTGGTATTTGCTTCTTTTTCTGCCGGATCAAAAGCTTGTCTGTACAAGGTAGTTCAGGTAATTCCAATCACCCATTCTTATCTTTGGTGTGGAGAATTTATTGGTTGAAGTATGTAATTTTTGCTGGATTGGAAATGCTCATTCTAATAGCTTTTCATGTAAATGCAGCTTATTGAGGGAAAATGTGAAGGTCAGCTCTACCTGGTAATGCATTTTCCTAGTTAATAACTTCCTTTTTTCTTAATTAAAAATCCTTTTCTCATTCCTTGATATTTTCCTTGGTCAGTGATGTCTTTAGCCCTTTTACCATTTAGATTATATTAATTATTGTTTTATCATGTGAAGCATAACTATCAACTGCTCAGGAACTTTGTTTCTGGACACATCTATGATTCTGGCCCACTAGATGTTACAAGTGATTTTGGCATCCGCTTCGCTCTACACCCAGCGATTGTAAAAGTGCCAGGACCATCAAAGGTTGTTTCCTGGATGGCAAAATGTGTGGCTTCTGGTTTTGATGCTTTATACCTAACCCGGTTTGAATCCTTAGCTGCTGAACATTGGCAAGCTTTGTATTCTTCTATTGTAAGTATCTCCTCTGTCCAGCTGGAGTTTATTTTTGGGTATGATTGCATTGTTTTAATTCATTCTAATGTTCAATTTTCTCTTCAGAATTTTGGGGCTCCATTTCTCATTTTCTGTTCAGAGAAAGATGAGATTGTGGCATTTCAAAGTATCCATACTTTCGTCCAACGATTACAGGGTCTTGGTGGAGATGTTACCCTTGTAAAACTGAGTAGCCCTTCTCACTTAGGTGTGTCTGATACTTTTTTATGGTTATGTTCACTTTCCTGCATTGATACCAATATTGATTGTAATGCTGACTTCAGCGTTGCTTTTGACTCTAGTGATTTGCAGTCAAAGGTTTCTGCATGCATTCTGGAAACTTAAATATATGGTCTTCATCTAGTTCTACCTTATTCGGGCAAAGTCTTCCTTTGCAAATAAACCAGTGTAAGCACTTGGAGCATTCTAACACCATTAATTTTTCTGTTGTTCCAGGTCATTACAAGCATCATCCTATCCAGTACAGAATTGCTGTGACCCATTTGTTAGAGAAGGCAACCTCGATTTATTCTCATAAAATGATGGAAAGAAAGAGAACTGGAATGGAAAGTATGCATGATGAGATCTCAGAGTTAATCTGCGACCTACAGAAGGCAGCAAGTCATTCAAATCGGAGCCTCAGAAGAGTTGCATCAGAGCCAAGTGATCACTTCTTTCTGCCAAGCTCCGCAGCATATCATGACAGTAGAGATTCTGGCACTCCACAGGATGAACAGAAAGAAAAATCTGTTTGTCTGCCCAATCTCCCGAGCATCAATGCTCATAGTGTCCTTGGCCAATTTCTTTTCGATGTTTGTGTTCCCAAGAATATCGAGGAGTGGGATGTTAAATCTTCGGGGACCATGAATGGGAAGCCTTTTGCATCTGCTCGCGGGCGTTCACCCTTCAGCAGTGTCAAGTGTATCCGTCGCTCCAGATTATGAAATCGTTTTCTTATCTAACTTGAGGAGATACTTAATAACAAACTTAATTGCAAGAGTATGGTACATCAGCTTTCCTGCAAGAACTTGACTAGACAATATGACCTTTCTGCAGAGTAACTGAAATGGTTCGAGTGTTTCATATAAATAGAGTTTGCATGGGAAGAACCCACTCATGGATGTAAATTAATGATCATCTAATTGCCTGACGCGGGAGTGAGTTAAGGAGAGGCTTGCAAGAAGATGTTTTGCATGTACAAAGATTAGTGCTAGGGTCCAGTTTGGTTGTAGTTTTGATCAAAACAAGTGTGAGTTTTGTGGTTTACCGGAGCCTAGAAAATGAGCCCCACTATCCACGACTCAATGAATGTATCTTGTTAGAGTTTTTATATTGTACATGGATGTGTGTGTGCGTGTATATATATTGAGGTTAATGAGATGTGATGTTTGGAAACTTGTAGTTAAGACGTGTCTAAAGAGCAAATAAAGGGGAAAAGAAGCTGCTTGCCAGTTTATATTTTGTCCATGCTGCTGCTTTCGTTGGCAGGATCCTAATCACAGCCAAGAGGAGCGTCCAATAGGTCCATGAGTAACAGACTTCGAATGCCAGTCTGCACAATGATTCTTCTGACGAGCCGCGTGTCTCAAGGTAGTCACCCGATCTTCCATGATCAGCTCTCACACATCCTCAATCAATGAAGTCAACTTACGGTTGCTCAATATTATTCTCTCTATCCGTCTGAACCTGGATGCTCTTCAGATTCCTAGCCCCAGTTTCATAATAGTCCATAGTTCTGCTACTGTGCTGGGGTCCATAAACCAATGCTGTTGCTCTTTTCAATGTTAATGGACCCTATAGTTCAGGAACCCAGGTGTAATTAATGATTCTTGTTTGAATCATGAGTCATGTGTACAACAATTTATATGCCAAGTTAGGCATTGTCTTATGTACTATTATCACTTGCTATAAATTTTATATTTTACTTAATAACAAATTTATTTTTTATGCAATTAATTTATCCCCTACTTTCTTTTCTCTTTACTTAATGAAACCAAAGCGGGACTCCTATGGAAAGCCGAACAAAAAGCATGGCATTATTATTATTTTTAAAAATAAACCAAGGTTAGAATAAGATGGCATATTCTTTATTATAGAAATATAAATAAATAACCAACAAAGGTTGGTTCTTATGATAAGGAGCTAATTCATGATTTATAAGGTTGTGAGTTCAAATTTTACTGTTGGGTTTTATTAGTGGGCGATTTATTTCTATAAATGTTTTTTGAATCTGGAAATATGTTTTGCTTGTGTTGAATTTTAAGAATCCAATTCACCTAAACTTTTTTTTATAAAAAAATATATAAAAAATACTTAAATAGAATTAAAATTATTCTACATTTTAAATTTTAAATTTTAACATCAAAATAAATTGATATCATTGATACTTATATAATAAGCTGTCTATAATCTTCATTAGAGAAAATCTAAAAAAAAAGTTCCCATTAAAAATTTTGTACCACTACTTTGTAAATTTTGTAGCCACAGACTGATTTAGGTCATTCTCGTTAACTTTTCCTTATTAATAAAATTTTCGATGGAGACTATTTCCCAATATTCCCATTTCATCATTATAAAATATAAAATTTATAATAAGTTATTCACATAAATAAAACTAAACTAAACTAAATAGAATGATTTATTCCTTAAACTTCAGCGAGGCAACCAACTCACGAATCAAATGAAATGGGAATACGAGACAACTTAAAAGTATCTTATAAGTAACTTTTCAATAGTGATTTGAGGAATATGAGACAAGTATGTTAAAGAAATTTTATTTCGGCTTACGTAAAGTTTATACGAAATTTCCACTATGATCCCAAACAGCCACGAAATATATATCGCGGTCATACTGTTCCATTTTATGGAATGTCGAAAAGAGAACTCCAAATAACTAAATTAATGGGTTGACAAACCTCCTAGCTTGTTTGGCTAAAAGTTTGGAGGCAAATAAGTTGCATTTTTTCAAGCATAGGCCCATTTGAAGAATTTGTGCTGTTTGGCTTAGCGATTGAGCAATCTGATTTTTGTATGAAAAGTTACAATAAGCTATAACTTAAAATTAATAGCTTATGACTTATAGCTTTTGAAATATGGAGAGAAAAAAAGTTAAGAAATTTATTACCTCTTTTAGTTCTTATTATAAGCCTCAAATAACTTGTAGATAACAAAAAATTAGTTAAAATTAGTTGAAAGTAATAAATAAGTTAGAAATATATTTTTGTTAAAATTACTTACTCAATCATTATTAAAATATTTTTTATGATCTTTCTAAAGTTTTAAAATTTGATTCACTCATTAAATTTCACTTATTTATATTAAATTAATTTAAATCCATTGTATTATGTAAAATTAATTTTTTTAATAATGATTTATTATTTGTTAAAACTCAAAACCATTTTGGTAATTTTATAAATAATCTTATTTTTACTCAATCATAATCCAAACAACTTCTTACCAATCTCATTTTTACAAACTAGTTTTTTTGAATTTCAATTCAAACACAATTCAACTTATCTAATTTAATTTTTACCCAACTTTATTTTTTTAAAAGTCAAATTGATAATAAACTACTTCTTTAATCGCTAATCGAAATGAACCCATAATATCTCTCATCGATTACCTTGATTAGGAAAGATAAGAACAGTGCAAGGCTTCTCTTCGAATTTGAATTGAACGTTTAGCCGTTAAGGTAATATGGCGCTCACATGCTCCCTCCCCTCGCAACGATCAACTCTTGCTCTTCTCATCTCATTTCCTCATAAGTCCTAACTTCGAGTTTACATTTTTCCTTCCAGCAAGCACACCTGTGAAGCAAAATCTATCCTTCACAACTTAAACTAAAAAAAAATGGTGGTTTCTAAGTTAACATACGAGGAATGCAGGCGACGACGGCTAGAAGAAAACAAGAAGAGAATGGAGGAGCTAAACCTCAACAAGCTTGCTAGTGCTTTGAAGCCTTTGCCATCACCTAAGTCTTCTCCTGTATTTCACTTGTTTTCTTCTCTTCTTCATCAGAAAATCTTAATGAGTTTTTTCTTTTCCCCTGGTAAACAAATCTTATGAGCTTTGTTGGGTCTGGTTTTTGTTGTTTCAGGCCAAGCCTAGGGTGGCACGTCAGCCGGTAAGTCCTTTTTCGGCCCCAGTAAGAAGGTCTAGTCGCGTAGCCAGCTTACCTCCTCCAAACTACAAGGAAGTTAGTCTTCAATCTTCTGCTCTTTCTTTAATGGCTTCGTTCCTTTTCTTTGAATCAGTTTTTGTCGTCAAATATGTAAGTTTTTTTGAGAGGGATTGTTTTTATTCTTGCAAGGGCCCCATTGAACCTTTGCTGAGACCAAGAAGGTGAGCTCAAGTTTTATACTTGTCACTTGTTCACGCTTCTTTTAAGATCAAATTTTTCATATGGAAAATGACTTGTAGGTCCTATCCGAAAAGGGACTTGCTAAATCGAGTTTATGCTTCAGATGAAGTTAGGCAATATGCAATTGATAGAGCCGAAGAACTTCTCTCTGGTTTAGATTCTAAATACCCAAGTTTCATCAAGCCTATGCTCCAATCACATGTCACTGGAGGATTTTGGCTTGTAAGTAAAAGGGAAATACTCTGTATTCTTCATTCCTCACCAATGATTTCCATTAATGGCAAGTTTTGAGTTTTTCTTGCTTGTTCTGAACAGGGTCTTCCAGTTCATTTCTGCAAAACTTATCTTCCTCACCATGATGAAACAATAACTCTAATAGATGAGGATAGGAACAAGTCTCCTACCAAATACCTTGCTGATAAAACTGGTCTTAGTGGTGGTTGGCGAGGTTTCTCAATTGATCATGAACTAGTTGATGGGGATGCATTGGTGTTTCAACTCATCAAACCCACAGAATTTAAGGTGATCATTAGGTAGACTTATGTGTGCTCTTGATTTTTTTGGGCCTGTCAAAACTCACGAGCTCTTATTTTTGACTTCTAGGTGTTCATAATTAGAGCATATAAATCAGAAAACAAAGAGGAAGGAGATGAAGATTTGGATGCTTCACACTTGAACAGGAGCTCCAAAAGAGTCAGAGCAAGTAACTCCCTTTTACAATTTCTCTCTCCCATAACGCATGTTCTGTGATTCTCTCTACGATCATAATTAAAATGTTTAAACTTTGAATACATTACGTGGTATAATGAAAGGTCATCTATTCTGGTCTCTGGTTATAGAAGTTAAGCCTTAAATATCTCTAGCAGATTTAGTATCGTAAATGATGCATGGATTACATTCGCACTATCTCCCCATTTACACTAATAAGGGAGTCTCTAATTGACAAATTCCCTTCACCGTTCTTAACTACCCATAATCACCATACTAATACTTCCCCTTAAATGGATCTTGACTCTGATACCAACTGATATATTTGTATGAAATTGTAGAAAAATATTATTCAATTCATAGATGCCCATTACATTCATCCTATCACCCTATATAGAGGAGCCTCTAACTACCCAATTTCCTTTACCGTTACCTAACTACCCCTAATCATCACATAACACAAACTCAAAGTGCTTAGATTCAATCAATGGTCCATAGAACAGGTGCAGAATATTCCTAACTAACTTATGACATGTTAATGCGCTGGGAATTTGTGGTTCTGGTACGTGTCAACACTTTAAAGCCTCTTATTTCTCCTCTTTATGAAGGCACAAGGTAGTCCTCGTTGTTGGGTTATAGCCGGAAGAACTTATTTTGATGCCGTGGAAGCTTCAAGGCAGCACATCAGAGTTTTTTGGTTCTCTGAGATGTACAAATGCCCTGAGAAAAAGGGGTCTTCTTGAGATTAACTTAGTTTGTATTATTGTTCCTGCATCTCTAGGTCCTGATTATGAACATGAAGAGGACAGATTTTGATTGAGATGTGGTATTTTGTAACTAAACGGAGTTTTACTTATAATGACTTGAGAAACATGTAGCTTCTAATTCTGATCCAAAATTTATGAAACTAATGTATACACGGAAGGGATGCTTTTCCTGAATTTCTTAAGCTCAATACTCCCTTAGCTGATTTCCTTGAGCTAAGAGAGTGTTTCAATTTTCACATTGCATTCTTTTTCAACGGGTTTCAAAGTATATAATTAGATTAGATGGTTTTAGAGATGTGATTTTTTTTTTAAAACTCTAATTGAAAGTGCTTTTTCATACATAGAGAAAGATGCGATTTAGTAGTAGCTGAAAATGTGATTCCATTGATTTTCCATCATTAGTCAATGCTTTTGAAAGCTTAATAATTAGAGTTTTCCTAGAAAATAAAATTTAAGTATTTAATCTCATACATTTAGATACGCTCCTTTTTAGCCAAATTAAAATAAGTAGATTTTAAATTTTAGAAGTTAAAATTGTTAATAATAAGTTGGCTACAGGGGTAAATTATATGGGACAAACATTTAGATTTTAAATTTCTGTTTCTTTCTCGTAGGATGCCCCAATATGGCCGATTCAAGTTTTGGGTCATCATGGTGTAACTTCATTTTTGTAATTGTTAGCTTAGGAAGTTTGAAAAACGAGAAATATTATTTATTTTTTTTCAAAAATTAATTTGTAATTATGAATAATGCATTTTGTTAAATTTTTTGTAGTATATATAATTATTTAGATTTGAAGCGATAAACTATACGAAGAAATCCCGTCACATACTGGTCAAAGTTTTGATAATGACCATGTCAAAATAATTAAATTATAAAGCGTTAGAATTTTGTTTAAAGACTAAAATTTACAATTTAAGCAAAATAAATCAGTCAATTTGACAACGAAATAGTGAGCTTAGTATCTTTATTCCCAAAATAAAACTTGGAGGAAAATAAATTGAATTGAGGATGTTTTGAAATTTTTAGTATTTTTTACTGCCAATCTTTTAGATCCCGCCAATTCACATTGGGTATCCCTGTGGCCTGGCCAAACGACACCGTTTCTTTCCTTCTCTTTCCCGCTGCAATCCAATCCAGAAGGCAGAAGCTCTCTTCCGTCTCTCCCGCCGGCACCACATTCCATTGATCGATTCGAAGTCACTATACATCAGCCATTGTCTTCGATGGCGGGAAACGCCATTGATGGAATCACAGATTACAGTAAAACGGAACGCCTGATTCTTCTCATAGACCTCAACCCACTTCTTCATCTTGAGGATCCCACTCCTTACATTAATTCCCTTCTCACATCAACGAAAATCCTTCTCACCTTCCCTCCTCTCTCGTCTTCTCTCTTCTGCTTTAAGCTCTTCTTTTCCTCGCTTTCTCCCCTTCTTTCGTCCTCTAAACTCCACCATTTTGTCCCCAATCACTCACTTTCTCTCTCTTTCAGTGACTCCACCTTTACCCTCCAATCTCTCTCGCAGACCCTCACTTCTCTGCCTCATTTTCACAATCCATTGGATCCCTCTCCTCCCAGGGCCTCACATCTTGCCGCATCGGTGCAACAGATTGTACACGACTATGCTTGGGACTCGGTAATATGTTCTCCTATACCAGATGCTGTTCTGAATTACCCAGTTGTTCGGTCGAATTTGGTTGTTTTGTTTTCGCCTATTTGTAGATCATTCAAGTGTCTGTCTGAATTTTTCGATGTGGAGCTAGGTCACGAGTCGTTGAAAAATGTGGGTCCATTTTGTGAGAGATTCTCTGGGTTCTTCAGGAGTGTGAGTGGTGCATTTGGTTGTAGGGACATTCATTTCAGTTGGGTTGATGTGAAGTGTGAATCTGGATGTTATGAGCATAAGAACGAGACCGATGAAATTAAACTGGTTTATAGTTTCTTTGAGAGTGGAACTAGAGCTTTGGGTTGGGGGTTATGTTCTGTGGATTCGGTAATACTTGGTTCCGCTCTGCTTCCTTTTGGTTTAATTTATCCGAAAATTGGAGTGTCATCGTATTCTCTCGATATAAATGATTACTCTAGTAAACTTCATGTCCAACTGAGTCTTCAGATCTTAGATGTAAGTAGGAATCCCATAGAATATAACTGTTGTGATCTTGAGTTGATCAAATTCAGGTTCTTTGGTAAATATGATGATGTTCGGTTTGATCCAGAATTGATTAATCCGCCAAAAGGAGGCCGTGAACACAAGGAAAAATTTTGGAAGCAGTTTGGTAATGGAATCACAAAATTTCATATTAAGGCTGTACAGAGGAATGATGCTTTTTTGAAACTAGGGGATCGCATATCTGATTCTTTTCTTGTACGAGAAGTGTTTGGTGAATCTAAGAAACAGAGGAAGGGAATTTCAAATGAATTCTTCGCAGATAGGGTTCTTGATATTCTTGCAGTTGAATTTGGTTTCATGTGGCAGAGAAATTCTGAACCCATCTGGCAAATGCTCTGTAGTTTTCTTTATAACGAAGGTTGCTGGGCATTGGTGTACCTTTCCAATAGCGACGGTGGTTCATTTACGGGCATTCTAAGGCCTTTTACAATATCTTCTGCTCTCTTATCTCTAATAGACGATCCAGATATGGTTCTTCATTTTGGAGGAGAAAATATGGCTCAACATATCAGGACATTGAGTGCTGACGTTTGCAAGCCTGATATCAACTTTAAAAAACGCAATAAACTATTGGATTCTCAAGATAAGAAGAGTGGTGCGGTGATTGAGGGTCATCAGAAAAAGAACATAATGGATAGGAAGAGCCTTCAAAAACTCACGTGGAGCACCTTCTGGAAAGCGGCATATGATCAGGTTGACATAGACTTGCATGGGGTTTACCATGCCAGGGAATGTAAAAAGTCAAAAAAGTTGAAATTTTTAAAGTGCTGGATGAAGCAGATGAAGAAACCTGACTGTCATGATATAATTGTGTCTGATACATCCAAGCCAAATCAGTTAATTCCAGAAAACATCGACACTAGATTGACTGGATCACCCCAAGATGGTCAGCTGCCAATCTCCTCATCTGCCTCAGCAGGAGAGAACACTCTGACTGAGGCTTCAGGAGTACAGGCCGGTGCTGTGCTTGACACTGGGTCAGAAACATCTGAAGGGTTTTTCAGTACTCTTTCCGACAAGATCCATCAGGGAATTGCATCTGAGGACGTAGACTTGCAGGCTTTGGCTGAGCGACTTGTGAACTCATCCATCTACTGGCTATCAAAGAAGTTTGACAGAGAAACCATTTCTGAAAGTCAAAATTCTTCGAAATGTAATGATGCATATGATAGCATGATTGCGGCTGAACTTAGCAAAATATTATTAATGGAGCCAAAAGAGTTAGTCACAAAGCATAAAAGCAAAAATCCATTCTCTCAGGCATCTGAGACTGGAACTTCTTCTCCCATCGCAGGACAAATAGTTAGAGAGTATCCTTTGGAGACATTTTGCGTAATTTGTGCATGTGTTGTGGTGCAGCTCATATTTCGTTGTTATTATAGTTTTGGCTTCTTTTGTTTCCATGTTTTACCTTAATGAGAACAAGATATGAACTGCAGATTTTGTTTCGGATGGAAATCCTACAATCAGATGTTGGAAGTGGAGTTGAAGAGTCTGGCAAACAGAAGATGGTTAAGCAAATTTGCCTTCTTCTGGAGAATATTCAGTGCCATATGGAAGGGGGATTCTTTGGTGATTGGAACCTTGATAATTATGTGGCAAGGATCATAAAAAGCAGGTACATATTCGTATCCAAAGGTTGATAGATTTTATAGATGTTCGATGATGCTTTTTTATGTAAAGTAATTCAGTATTTCTTAATGCAAGGACAAAAGATTTTAGCTTCTCTTTGGAGTTGGACGCATAAGTCTAGGTTTATCATTTTGTGCATTTATTCTAACATATATGGTGTGTGTGTGTGTAGTTGCTCTGCTGTTGGTCAAAATATGTTCACCGGAGAGGGGTCCATGTGAAGTGGTATCTTCTCCCTAAAACATGAGTATAATATATTTTTTAGTTACATAACAACTAAGTGTACCCATGACCCACGCACGCACTCCGTGGTTTAAACCCGCGACCTCCACCCTGTCGGGCAGGCTATTGTGTCACCTAAAGACCATGAGTATGATATGATACATCAGTGTGAAATACCTCATTAACCGTCTTGAATTAGCCTTTGACGTTGCACTGAACTTCTCTTGTTTTTTCTTTTGCCTTTGCAACTGAATTTCCGCTGTCTTCTAAATAAGCAAAAACTTGGCAACAGTAAAAGTCAGTTGAATTTGCATAAAGTGATGAAGGAAAAATGAAAATCCATTAGACTTGCGATCTTGAAGAATTTGGAATTTCAGGTATTCTCATTCCGTTGGAGATGTGGTTCATGAAATCTACGACAAGATGGACCTATTGCTGTTTGCCGAAGAGGATGAAACCCCAAATCATTTTCTCATCAGTGAAGACAGCAACAAATCCTGGAATGGAAAGGCCGACAGAGATGAGATGGGTGAAAATAATGTAAGTAGTAGTGGTCCCATATCGTCGGAAAATGAGCCCTTTCAGCTCCTCAAGAATGCAAATGGAAGCCTTGAAAGAAATAAACAGCAGGAGGATCCAAAAATAGTAGAAGCCAAGAAGAAGAGAGAAAGGGCAAGAAGATTTTCATCTTTCACAAGTTGCATTCCTGATTTGCAGAAACTTTGGGCCCCAAAGCAGATGTCTATGAAACTCAAGTCAGATTCTTTTAGAAAGCTGCCAACAAGGAAGAAGAAGAAGCGGGAGAGGGCAAGCTATGACACAGTATGCGAGACCCCATTGACCGGAAACAAGCGTTCATGTTCATGGACCAGCAAGGTGGATGATGACCATTACAGGGTTGACGGGAGTCAAAGAAGTAATTCAGTTTCCAAGGCTTTATTTCAAGATGACCAATTGATGTGAGTAAATTATATTCCACTCTTACGGAAGAATTGTATATGTAAACATGTGCAGGATGAAAACATGGTTAATTCAGAATTCAACCCCAACTGTTGGACGTTAGTATCTGATACTAGAACTATATCCCAACTAAAAGCTGTATTGCATGGTATACCTACATGATTAGTTAACCCACCACGTGATGTCTTGCTACTGAATAAATCTTTCATTTGTGTAGGCTGGTGTATTTGACCTTTAAAGGAATGAATATACATTGAAGAAAGAATTGAGTTCCCTGCTGCATCTTTCCAGTTTTTGTTACTGACTTTAGGGGAGAAAAAGATTACTTTTATTTTTACATCTTAAAAGGAGTTTCGAAATAATATATTCAAATGCGAATGCACCATCTGGCCATCTCTGAGATGCATATGCCATTATTGGTCAGGATCGACAGAGAATTTGGAGTTTTTTCTTCTTTAAAAAGAAAAAGGAAAAAAAAAATTAAGGGTTTAAATTCTGGACTACTTGCCGTATCTTGTTCAATTCCTTATATTTGAGTTAGCCTCACGGGGTCATTTGGAGCTTTTTTGCTGTTCTCTTCCAAATCTTACTATTGGTATAGAATTGCTAAGCAAAGCATTAAATCAATTAATTTATATTTCATGAATAATCTACACGTAAAATATGGAGAGAAAGGGAATAAAACCAACCTTGTAGGACCTAAGAAAGTTCAGTGTATCTTGTCTTTCTTTTCTCAAGTCACGCTCTGATGTTTCGGTGACCATCTTCATTCGGACCTGTCTCTGAGTGGTGAGTATCAAGCTCATGAAAGCTATACCGCTTGGGGAAATCCGGATTGACTTGCAAGGTGTTTGATGAAATTTCTGAAAGGCATGTTGTTTTCTTCAATGTCACTATCCGAAGCTATCATGATTCATGACGCTCAGCTTGTTCCCAGGACCATGGTTAACCATAAAAGCCAGCTCATAATATGCTGTCCCAGAAGCAGTGATCAACTGATCATAAAATAGTTTTCGTTTTCATATTACAATCCTTTTTCTTTTTTTTTCCGTTTTGGGTGGGGGGATTCAATGGGTAAATCAGGATAGGCTTAATAGTCGTTACCAGAATTAAAAATGGACCTCGTTCTTTAAACCATGAGGCCTACCTTAATTCTAGTGAGCCAGACTCAACTCATCTGATCATTTTTGTAAATAAAAACACAATTCAAAATGGATGCTTCATACTTGTCCCTGAGTTTTGGAAAGGAATCTATTGTCTAACAAAAAAGCAAACTTGCTTAAAGGACGTCTGGATTTTACATAACATTTATTGTTACTGATTACACAACCTCAAAGTAAACTCAAAATAAAGGCGAGAATATATTATACTGGAGTTGAACAGACAAGAAATTTGAAAGTGCAGAACCAATCTTCACTATAGTTCAGTAGCATATTTGAGTAAGAGCTGCAAAGATAGTGGACGCTGATTTTCATTCCACCTCCTTCAGTTCACAATTCCATATTTGAAATTGATGAAACAATAGTATAATCCTTGAGGAGTCATAGTTTGGCCACTTGACGATGGAAAGATGGGTCAAGACAGACAACAACCTGCAAGATTTATTTGATAAGATGAAAGCATTCAGGGCTAGATTGTCTAGAAGCACAGGTGTATATTGGGAGTTGTTAATTGGACAAAACTTAGGTGGAGTTTAACCAGGTTCTCCAATTGAAACTAACATTTAAAAAAGAAAAAACACTAAAAAGTGCCAAGATATAATAAATATCCACTCATTGCTTTTATCGGAGAACATGACAGTAAAACGTACGAAAGTAAAATTTAATTTCATCAGTAAGTAAATACCTTCCCAACACTTTGACCTGAATGGAGATACTCAACTGCATCAGCAACAGATTGTAGGCCTGAAAATCTCTTTGGATCTAGAGCAACCTATGTGCACAAACCAGAAGTAAATAGAAGTGAACTTCAGAAGCATGGAAAATTAGAAGGATAACATTTGTAAACTTAAGATGTACATGCAGATAGTTATGAACGATCACAATGATACACAGATATACGCACACATTACCTTTAGCTTTCCCACAGAGTACAGATCAAATAGTCTGTCAAGATGTTGTCGCCACAAATGACTATATTGCACCAGGAAAAAGCCAGTCTGAAAATGTTGGAATTGTTATGGAAAAACCATAGGTAAGCCAACTATGGGATTTGGAACTTGTATCAAATCATCATCTTATTTGCCAAAGTTCTTCAAATTACTCAAATCAGGATAGAAGAATCATAAGTGGAACAGTTCACTGACATTGTAAGAAAAAAATGAAAATCAATTCTGATTATGAAGGTTAGTTTTTTTTTTTTTTTAAATTTTTATATAAAAAAACAAAAGAAATTAGAAATTAGAAAGAAGAAGAATAAAATAACATTAGCCTACTACAATCAACACACACCACAGTCTGGCTCTTTGCCAAGATCTTCTCGCATAATCCTGGATAGTTTGATGGCTTCCAACCATGCTCTCCTTGATACTGACATAAATGAAACAATGAATAGGGAAGAGTACATCAGCAAAGAGAGAAATTATTACAATTTATAACCTAATGTCTCCTTTTGAAAGTCTACACTTGGGTGATGACTTCATACAATCTGTTGACTGATTGATAGATGAATGGAATGCAAATTCTTACAATATATAACGACTACTTTGATACCGAACGGGTAGGGGAATAAAAAAAGGGAAAAATTCCCTAAGCTCAGCTCAATTCAATATCCCAATAGTCTGAGGGAACGACTGTAACTGGGTAAAAATATATTTAAGAAAAGATAAGGACTAATCAGACCAAAAGCTTATTCACATCTCTTCTAAATCCCAATTTATCCAAGTTTCCCCATATTACAAACCCTAGTTTCCAAATAATAATTACATTATTAAATAATAAAATACATAATAAAATTTTCTTTTCATACTGCAATCTGCTTAATATATATAGCTTCCCAGATTTATACCAAATATCTAAAACATATATCCCATCTTCCATTATAGCCGGATGATTTGAGAGGGAAAAAAACAGTATAAACAGTTTGAAATTTGATATGATATCCATGCACTATATAAGTTTTAGATTTTAGCCCTGAAGATTGAGTAAATCATTGAGTTACTAGCCCATACTACTTCATGTGAAGGACCACACAAGCTAAACTAGATGTCAAGTACAGTAATATAGTCTAGTACATTATGACAACCTCAAGCAATAAGATAAGAATAAGCATTATCTTAAAGACAAAAAGAGAAAACTTGGAAAATATTGCAAGACAAATATAGCATAGTTACACGAGAACATGCAAGGATGGGGGAAGGAGAGAATATCAGAGAACCTGAGAAATCATTCCAATCACAATGAGTCGCCCATAGACTGCTAAAGCATTCAAGCACAAGTTGAACATGGCACCACCAACAGACTCATAGATGATGTCAATGCCTTGTGGGAACTCCTTAGTCAGAACCTGAAAAAATAAAGCCACAAATATTCAATCAGCTAGAGCCTTGGGGAAGTTAAGGTATTTTGCATAATTTTTTGTGGGGTTAAAACACACATATCTTCGATGAGGTGTGAAAAACATTATTTCAGTGCTAGCAATATCATCTCACAAATAGATTAATTTTTCAAATTTCAAAAATGTCATTAAATCATCAAGCAAACCATAAAAGCAAAATAATGTTAAAAGAAATAAAATATAAAGGGAAGAAAACCAGAGGACTTGAGGTATACGGTTTTAATATCTTCACTTTTATAGTCTATGACCCTGTCAACTCCCAATCCTTTTAGAAGCTTGGCTTTCGCCCCTCCTCCACAAGTTGCAACCACTTTATTTCCTCCTAATTTTGCAAGCTGCATAGAATCCAAATTATTGAGAAGACATTGTGTACAGAAAAATCAAGTAGAAATTTTAGCCTGCAACGTTGCAATAGAAAAGTCTCCCACTGCCTTAGTTATGGACATAAATTGATCTGAACAAATTTACTATTTCTTCTATCTTTAGTGTTTCTATTATACAAAACAGTATCTTCATCTCCATTTATCTATTAAGGTATGAAACACATAAAATCTTATCCTTAAGGCGTGTTGACCGCGAACACTGCCATGACACATCAAATCACCAATTACATGAGTCCATATAAGAGAATAATAATTAAAAAAAAAAAAAGTTAAGAAATACACTAAACATCGCTTGAAGAAATCAACCGAAAAAGGGACACTAGAAACTCCATCTTCATGATATAATACAAGTTCTATATTCTTTTTTGGGGAAAAATAATGTAAGAATATATGACAGATACCCATTGAATTTTTGTACATGTTTCATAGCTATGAAGCATTGAACTAATGAATTATTTAAAAGAGATCCACCCTCTCAGTTTAGCTACTTTGTGTCGCATCTTCTCTATTTCTCAGACACGGAAAGGATTCCATATTTAGTTCAACTTAATACGAACCACGATTCATGTAATAATTACAAAAAACAACCAGAATTTTCTTAAACTACTGGTCAGACATCTTTAGATTCAATGAAATTAGGAAAACAATGTTAAGGGTTGAAAAAATAGTCTGAAGAATAGGTAGTGCATGAAAAGAAGAAAAAGCGCAAAACTCAAAGCAATAAATATCTCGTCTATACACTAAAGAGAACAAATATTTCTTGACCAGAAACATGAAATATATTACTGTCATGTGTAGGATGGGAAGAAACATGATGTGACTGGCTGTCGGCTGAGTTTTGTGCAAAAGATAAAAACCCAGGTTCTGCCGTCTACAGCATAATATAAATGCATGCGAACACATTTGAAAGAAGCAAATGGAAACAAATTTATGTGCACCTGAACTGCAAATTGTCCGGTTCCTCCAGCTGCAGCAGTAACAAGAACTACCTTTCCAGAATCCATATGCCCTGCCTATTCAATGCACCAGAGGAGATCTTTATTAGGTCAAGCCAATTCAGTGGCAGAAAAACTAAAGGCATTAAACTAATCATGAGCTGCACAAAAGGTAGTATATCATAACAGTTCTTGAATGTACATCGTGTAACATATCAGGTACTAAACTAATTAATGTGCATCACGTAACATCTTAGAATCACGAAGATGAGCTCATGTCAGTAAACCTTTTCAAGAGCAATTGAAGCAGTTAGTCCCGAAGTAAGCATGGCAACAACTTCTGGATCTGGTCTAGCAACTGGAAGGGCATGTTTTGAAGGAATCTAGGCCAAATAAACAAGGTTAACTTAAATTGCCTTACTATATCAACTTAATGATCAAACCAGGACAAACTGTTTAGCAATGCTCACCATTATGAATTCAGAATACCCTCCATAAGTCATGAGCGCACAAGGCATGCCAACTTTTAAGCCAGTCACAGAATCCCCAACAGCTGCAATTATTCCCACAGCCTAAAATATTGTGTATAACAAGGAAAACCCAAGTGAACATGATAAGCATAGGTGCATATTAATACATGACAAGAAACACATGGAGCCTTACACATGATATACATTCTTAGAATAATATCTAACCTCAAATCCAGCATCAAATGGAAGACGAGAAGAAATGTCTTTGTCCTTGCCACTAAAATAGCGGCCTGAACTGAAATTTACCTATCATAACTTGTTTTTGTTAGAATTCAAGATGAAAATGAGTTTTTCTCTTCTAGACTTAAAAAAGGATTAAGCAAGGGGGAAGAGAATCTGTGACAAGGTTATGCCAACCAAATAAAAAAATCAATATCAAGACAACAACTAAGATTCAAAACGGGGGGCCCTGAATCATCAATCTTCACGTTTAAACCATGATAAGCCCATCTGAAATTATAACTCGACAACATTCATTCTAGAAATATATACCACTATTATTTTATTACAAGCGTCATGCTTCAGCTATAAATCAAGGATATCAAGACCTTTGATAAAGGCCTGAGCAATGGATTCCTCAAAGCAAATTATTTGAAGCGTTATCTCTCAGAGTTAATATATTGGGTTAATCTGTTAAGAACTCTACCCTTTTGCGTTTTGTAATGATGGACTACTAAAACAAGATTGTGTATGAATTTACCCAACTAATAGAACATAGAAGTACACAAAATCAGGCTTATTTGAATTCATGCCAGGGATAAAATCTCACCTACATGTTATAACGTATACTTTCACTATGTATATAGATTGGTCATTAGTCTATTAGATAAACATGCAAAGAGAATTATAACAAATTGAGTTACGATCTCATGCGTAGGCTTGAAATCACTTCATTTCCAACCAGAACATCATTCGCAACTGTTCATTACCGGATGCTGTTAATAGTATACTAGCACTAGTCAAAAAATAGTCCTCTCAGAAATCCACAGTGACTTACATCACTAGCATTTACACCGGCATAAACCAATTTTACAAGAACATGATGTGGTTTGATGGGTAATCTCAGTGATGTTCTCACGATACTGGTTGCGTTCCTAAAGTTGTGAGTCAAGGTGTGGACAACTCTGCAAACAATGAGCAACTAACACAAATCCATTAAATAATACACGTGATCAGGAAAAATATGTGGTCAAACTCAAAATATAATTGCATCTTTTCCTCAGTAACACTAAGTCATTATAAAAGATACTTTAAGCTATTAAACAAAAAGGCATGCATGGAAAGAAGCGTGGGCTGGAGAACATAAGGGTCCACACGCGCACGTGCATGTATGGTCACAGCAGAATAGAAAGAAAGCATTGAAATACACACATTTTCTCAAAAATCTCAGGAAGTTTAATTGGTGGAGCTTTGAACTCGGATCTTCTCCGAAAACTTGAGGAGGGTAACATGTATTTCTCTTCTTCTGATGGCGTGGGCCAGTACTCAAATCCACGGCGATTTGTAATCCATAGGCATGAACCAGCTTTGCTCTCATCAATAATAAGCTCAAAAGCACCTTGAGAGTTTAAAATACTTAGATATAATATAACACTAAAAATAGTTGCTGATAATTGAATTTGGGGGCATTCCCATAGTAATGAAACTATTATAAGAAACGTAATCTTCAGAAGGAAGAAGTCACACTTAAGCGTACTACAGTATTTTAGGAGAAGCACATGCGTGATGACAATTAAGATGTTCGCACAAAACCAATCAACAAGCTTTCCATATAAAAAGCAGATGTCTACTAACGATAGAGATTTGGCAAGCTTGCAGACATTCGTCACCCCCATCTTTTGGCCATCTAAGAGAACAAAAAATATATATACAAACATACCTTTCACAACCATTTCCATAGGTACAAAGCCCCCCATCAAACCAACAAATTTAGAATCCACCTTTGTGCCCATATCAGTTTGAACAAACTGCAGAAGTTATTGGTAGTCATTTTTAATACAGCATCATAACAACTCTTCCAATAAAATCAAAATATAAATTACTAATCTCAGACAATAAAATTTCAAATACCTCGAACTAAAGAAGTACGAAAGAAGAAGTTAGTTATACGAAAGCTTTCATTGCTTAAGTTAAATATTAGACTCGATTATACTGCCTGCTACCACCAGTGACTAAGGGTTCTGTATTTATATGGCGAAACAGGAAACGTTCTAATAATGATATGGCCCCCCAGAAAACAGTCTGACCAATTGTTCCACTCTGGAACTTAGTGCAACTCACTTGAAACTTCCCACTTTTTAACTGAACTGACCATTGATTAATAAATGCCAAGATAAAAGAAGCATGGAAAAGCCACATTAAAAGCTAGAGGGAAGCAACAAAATAAGCAAGAACTGCCATCTTCTTCACATGTATCAAAAAGACAATGAACCTGTTTGATTGCAACCATCAAGGCACCAATAAATCAAAGATAATTTTTTTTTTAAATGAAGAAAAATATCTAAAGGAAAAGAGTTTTCAACAAACTGGAGAATAACATATCATGAAAAAAAAAGAAGATATAGGCTCAAAAGTTAAAAGAGAACACGGTAACAGAAGCCTACACAACTTATTAATATTTTTAAAAAAAAAAATCACGTCTTGAGCACCAAAGGGAAGCTATACACACCATTATGCCCATAACGCAATTAACAAAGGCAGTAACAGATACCATGTAGATTTATCCCCAAAAAAAAAAAAAAATTATGAACTTATGATGTGCCTAAACCGTTATATACAGAATCTAATTTGAAGAAGTCTCAGAAAAATGTTAACAATCCGGAGATTAAAAATTATAAAGGTTAACAATAAGCATTTACTCTTCAAACACAACTCTGACCTCAGGGCAGAGCACATTGACACGAATTCCCTGGTGTTTGTATGGACGAAGCGATCTAGAAAACATGACAACGCCACCTGCAGAAGCACATGCTCATGTTTCAGGAAGCAATAATACACTAATCTATGCAAAATCTCAGGGACAAAGATGTAAGAGCCATTCTTTGACCCTCAATTACAACAAAAACTTTTATCTAAATATATTTTTCAGCATGGTATTAATTAGGCCTATCAAAACTAATTGTCCATTTATGGCCAAGCCACCATCATTTTTATGATTAAATTTGAAAAGTACTAGACATAAAAAAGATCTTTTGCATGACAACTTTAGTAAATGATGCATTATGTAGAACCCATTTCGTATTAACCAGTCCCATGAATTTCATTTGGAGAACTTAACAATCAACATTGACACAATGCACTTATTAAAGCGAGGGGTGAGCAAGTTATCCGCTACCTACTACCCACCTGACCTGTCCACTACTCGCATTTTTTTGCCCATTTAAGCCCGCCTGTCAAGAGCCCGAAACAGGCGAGCTCAAATGGGTCGGATTGTTGTGTTATATGGGCAGGTAGCGGGTAAAGGCATGGGCTACCCATGCTCCACCCATTTACATTTTTTTTTTTTTTGTTTATTTCACATGATATCCAGTTTGTGATCAAGTATATTATTAATATAGTAAAAGATGAGATGAAGGTGCAAGCAGATTACTCTCCTTCAGTCAGTCAGAGCTAGTAACTATTTTTTGCCCTTTCCTTTTGCAATAATTTCTTAGGAAATATGCTTAGGTTTACATTGTTCAGATTATATGCTGGATGAGCAATCCAAAACACTTCTGCAAATTGAACTGAACACTATTTCATCTTCATTTGTTGGCCTTGGTGGACTGGTGACCAAGCTTCATAAGTTCACGTTTGGTGTCTAATTTAGAATCTTTTAATAATGTTTGAGGTTATCTCTTTTTCTGTTTTGGTGCAGTTATGGTTGTGGGTCCTTATAAGTTAAACATATAATGATTCTTATGGTAAATATAATTTAATTCTTATTAGAGACACATTAGGAATTAATGAGGTGATTTCAAGTTAAAATTTATTTCAAGAGCTCACCGATGCACATTCATTACATATTTCAAAAATTCATCCAAGCAATTTTATTTAGAAATTAGGAAACCTATCATTTAGACTTTCTGGGAGGTATTTTCCTCAGCTTTTTAATACGCACCATATTACACATCTGTGCGGAAAACATTGGCTCAAATTGATCAAGAGTCAGAACTTTTTCTTGATGGAAAACTTTGTATGTATCCTTTGCCATCATGGTTAATGCTTGTTATTGCTTGAGTATTTCCCTTGTTTTCCTCTTCAAAATGATTATGATTATGAGAATATCTAGATTAGCTAGTTCTTGCTTGTTGTAATGCTGTCCAACCGGGGGGGGGGGTAAGGACGCCTCAATTAGATGGGCTACCCCAAAACCCATGAAAACTCGTGCATTTAAGGGCAGCCAATGAACCATGTATAGGTATGGGCTAGCCCGTACCCATTTAACCTTAAATGGGCGGGCTGCGGGCACATCCCTGGGCTGCCCAGCCCGCCATTGCACTGCCCTAATTAAAGCTTGTTCTGCTTGGCATTGCTATAAAATCACCAATCACGAAAGCCATTCCTGGCTCCTAACTGATAGTTTAACTAATAATGGTAGAAATTGCTGATTAGTTCTTTAGGCTCCGTTTTATGAAAACATTTAGTTTTTCAACTTCAACGGGAAGTTCTTAATGAATAAATCTCATTAAAGTTGCTAAAGTGGCAAACCTTTGGAGGCAGAATATATAGGATCTCCGTACATTGGATAAAGACCGGAAGCAGAACCCATATTGATAATCACACCAGGCGATTTGGTAGCTTCCATGGTTCTAATCTGTCAAACACAAGTATTTACTGTCATGGATAATCAATGGCTTTAACCTTTTTCATTCATTTAAGAAATAAATAGTTTAGCTATGCATGCACTCCATAATTTTTTTACCTTCACATTGTGAACTGAGTCTTGTTTTGGAAGCTTGGGTTAATACAAACTTTAGTCCTTCAAGTTTGTCCTCATTTTGGTTTTGGCCCCTCAAGTTTTATACTATAGGTTTTGGTCCTTCAAGTTTCTTTTCATTTAGAACATTAGTCCTTATAATCTAATAAAAACTTAGACTATTTTACCTCTAGAGGGACCAAAACTTATGGTTTGAAATCTGAAGGACCAAAACCAAAATGAAACTTGAGGGACTAAAGATTATATTAACCCATTTAAGCAAAATTATAACTCTAATTAGAGGAGGAAGGCAAACCAAGCCTTATGTTAAGCTTACCGCTAGGCGAGTGCAATCAATAACAGCATTCAAATTCACATCAATAGTGTATCTCCATGAGCGAGAGCCATCTGTTTTATCCTTACTGAACGGTACAGGATTACCGATCCCTGCACTGTTGATACAAATGTCCAGTCCTCCATATGTCAACGAATGTTTCTCAAATGCATCAGCAATATCCCCTGTTATTAATCATAAATTAAAATATTTGCAAATAATCAGAAATAAAAAGGACAAAATAACATGTAATTCACTTTTTATGACATGTATAAAAACTACAAAGTCTGATAATAGTTAGAAAAAGGTGAACGCAAAAATATGCCGTCCAGATCAGGAAATTCTACGTTTTCCTCTTTCTTCCAGTGAAAATGGATGGCTATCTTCCCCCTATATGATGCTATTTTATCATAGATTGGTAATACTAAACCTGCAATTGAAAGCAAGAGCAGGCCGGAAGAGTATCATTTAAAAAAGAACTTAAGTAAACAAGCCCAACTTCCAGCATGGTGGACAAAGGGGAAGGCCATAACTTTGGATAGAACTGATCCTGTTGTTTTGTATTGTATGTGTTGCTCATAGATAATCATTCACTTACTTGTGTTAGACACATCACATTTCACAAAAATCGCAGATGGATGTTCTAACTTGGGATGGAACTTGGTGTTAATTTGCTCAACGAGGGATGAGACTTGTCTTCCCTTTTCTTCAGAGTAATCAACAACTGTGACAAATATACCCTTCTCTGCAAGAGCTAAGCAAAGACTTTTACCTGTATGTAAACCAAAGGAAGAAATGCAGTTTAGGCATGAATTGTTATATCTAAATCGCAGATATGATATCTAATAAAATGCACCAAGCGTCTACTAACGTGATGTTTCAATATCGATGAAAGAGAAATGGCTGCTGAGTTAATATATTCTCCCTAGATAGACCGTCAAATCAGCGTTTATTATCTCTCATATCTCTATTACAGTAGTTGTAAGTCCATAACAAAAGTTTCAAAACCAATCGTCCCCTTAGGTGTATAATCATTCGCTTGCTTCTTTTCTCCTCACTTACCATCCAATTGGTTCCTATACTAATCATTTCGCAACTAGAAGATTTCATCGATCGTTAGTCAAACCCCAAACATACTCACGAAGAAGAAAGATATCATGACATTGGGATCGAAAGCTTCAGTTACCAACAATAATCTGAGCACCGAACACGTTATTAGTCATGTAAACTTATGTCTAGCTATAATTATCATCCCATAGTTCAAATATTAAACTTGTCCTTTCAAACTGAAACATTAACAAAGCACCAAACTTCTGCACAAACAGCCAACAATCAATCTAAAGTCACAGATATATTAAATTCATCGATCCAAAGCAAAAAAAAGAAACGTATTTTCAAAAATAAATCGAGGCATCATAGAATCCAGGAAGAATCAATAGGGAGTCTTATGTATGTTACCAATTCCAGAGGCACCTCCAGTGACCAGTGCCGACAAACCCGGTTTGAGCTCCATGGAGCGAGGTAGGATCGTTGCGACAACAGAGGGAAAGATACAGGATCAAATTTGGCCGGCCTAGAGGAGTAAAAGGTGAGGGGCAAGGGATATATTACAATATTCAATCCATAGTCCTCGTTCTTCCAACTTTTTACTGTTCATGTATCATGTTAGTTATTATCCCGTTTCAATGGATTTGCAAGCGCGCGAGTGAGAAACAGAGAAAGGAATATACCTGGGACTATATCCGGAGGCCTCGGTGTTCTCGCATGCATAACTCTTTCTTGTTACATTTTCAAGGGGTAAAAAGCGACGCAAAATAGAGTACATCTGCTCCCAACTACTAAGGAATCTGCCAGACAAATCCTTGCAACGGGGGAATCCGCCGTGGGGATTTTTTTTTTTTCCCTTGGTGCTTTCAAAATAAACACTGTCAGGTATTAAACATATATCCCACGTCAAATCTATTTACTACGTTATGAAAGACATAATTTCTGTTAGCGTCACAGGTATGTAATAAAGGACATGCTTTATGTTTTTTTTTTTTTTGGTTGGTAAAATGCTTGATGTGTTTTTATTATGTGTTTCCAGATAACACGAACTTGTTTGGGAAGAAACACAAGAAATTATTTTATAAGTAAAATAAAATGTTTATATTATACAGGTCTAAGTGAATTAAATAGATTTTCTTAAAATAACAGCTACAGCGTTCTCATAATTTTTTTAATACAATTGTCTAACATTTAATACTACAGGACCAATTTTCTAATAATTTTAAAATCTCACAAACTTGTTTAAACTAAATAAATACTTTTTTGTCCTGAGATGAATAATTATATTACACTTTCCTTTAATTTTACATATTTTAACTAGCAAATCCATCTGCTTGCTATAATTTACATAAAATTCATAACATCTCACAAGTCATAATTTTTTTCTACAAAGTGAAAATATCTCCTATTAGAAGCGACACTATCAGGCGTTAAATGATGAAATTCAAACTTGATTTGTCATATTATGAAACACTAGTTATTTTCACTAAACCTAAACCTAACTCTTGGTTCACAAGTCATAACTAGCAGCATAACCACAAATACACGAATTTAAATTAACTCAGCCCAATCGAAACAAATTTTTCCCTTATCGGCCATGTTGATATGATTAGGCCGGCCCAAGTTCATATGCTTTTCCGCGAAATTCCCAACCCCAATGTTGAACGGCCTATTTTATCCCTGATCTGTTTCTCCGAGGAATTTTGTCGACGAGAACATCACCTTAGTATAATCAGTGCAAGACCGAAAGCAGGCAACGTGTTTCGTGCAAAAAGACATAGGACATGACATTGTGATGACTAGATGAAAGCCAATCATAATGATCGCTTGACGAAATCAGAAGTATTATTCTAATTGATCAACATCAACATAAGTTGGACATGATCTTTTCTGTGGTAATTGATTTACAAGGGAATTTTTGGTTTTTAAAGCTGCTTGTGTTGATATATTTTCCTTCGTCCTAACAGAACTCAATGCTGGCCTCATTGAAGGCTTGAGGGAGTAAGATGGCTTCTGATGTAAAGAAAGAACGGGACTTTGTTTGGAGTTCCGTTTTAGCTGGATCACTTCCTTGCTTTCCTCTTGCTGTTGCTCTGAACTGACGGTTGAATCAATTGGTGTCAGCTTTCCATCAACTTGGTTTGTAAAAACAAATGTCACCTGAAAGAGAGAAATAATATCCAGGTAGAGATTATTGTAACTTGAACTGTAAAGGATAGCCGGCTTTAGGCAAATTAGCGTGTCAGTGTCACTTTCATGTTCAACTGCCAATAATAGTTCATATTGCTCAGATTATTGACAAGATGTTTCACATATTACATGCCAAAAGTGGGGAAAATATTTCGAAGGAAAAGGGTACCACTAATAAGCACAATACCGAAACTTATGGAGAGAAACGTTAAGATGAGCCGTTTATTTGAATGCTTCAGCAGAGTACATGCATGTTATGTCAAATGTAAAATATTTTCAATATCTAAACCGTAAGAGCCAGCGTTTAATGAATTTTATTACTGAAACTTACTGAGCTTCATATTATATTTATTAAATTAGGATCCTGTATCCAGGATTGTTGGAAGAATTAGAAAGCCATGGGCTACCATAAAGGTCCGATTAATTTGTCTTTAGGATGACTTAACTATTGATTTTAACAAAGATTAAAATGGGGGGAGGGAGGAGTGAATAGAAATATACTTAAATTGCTATAGCATACCTCATCTCCGGCTGAAGCCTGAAGGATAGTATCCGGTACGGTCGTGGAGAAGAAATGATGGCCCCAGCTACCTAAATCTTCTTCCAAGGGGATCCCTACCTGAAAAGATGTATCTAAGATTAGGTACTCATTCAGTATCTCCTTGAATCAAGTGTCAGAAACATTACGCAGTTTATCTACTTGGTCGAAGTACCATAGCATCCCTTTGAGGAAGTCGGGTTACTGAGGTTTTTAGCAAACTGAAGGCACATAAAACAAGTCTAGTGGAATCTAACCTGCTTTTCTGATTTCTTTAATTTGTGCATACAGCCTGCAAATTTTGCAAATCCACCTATATCATCAGAGGTTTCCTCATCAAATCCACCGTTACTTATCGTAGAATGAGCAACATATTTCCCATCGTCGCTCTGAGGCCCATCGTCATTTGTCTGACACCGAGAGCAATGCATCCTTTCATGAATCTCTGACCTAAAGACATGAAAGAAAACATAAGGATGAAGTAAAGGCCTCTGTTTATTCTTATGGTGGAATGTACATTGTCGTTTCTTTTCACCAAATCTCCATCAAGGGCGACCATTATTGCAATACAATCGCACCATACCAACATCTTTAAAATTATTAATAATCGCAAAATGCTACGATATTAACGATTGTTCGTTATTGCCTTTCCTATCTACTCTACTGTAACATATGTATGAATGGCTTCAGCTTCGCCATTCGCTAATGTGTAAATTCGACTCACCATGCATCAAGAAGGGTGTTATCAGCATTCAGCATAATAATTAATATAAATTACATGAGTGAAAAAGATGGAATGCATTACTTGACACATTCATGAAATGAGAACAGATCCCGGAGGACCTCTGTCGAAAAGTTACCCTGAAAATTACAAAGACTGAGAACATTAATGTACAGGTTTAATGAGCTGCATTAAGAAAATGTGCTCGAAGCAGAAATTTCAACCGGTGTCTCAAGGTTATCTGTTTGCTCCTGCTGAATGACCTTTTGAAGCCCTTCTTTTGACATCTGACGCTGGTATACCTACGGTAGAGTCATATGAATCAAAATCGCAATAAAAGCATTTGTCTCCACTCAATTATCACAATGATATATACCTTTTCCTCTATTGTCCCAGCACTCAAAAATCTATAAATGTACCTCTTTTCTTCTGCCCATCCCTCCAAACTCTCGCCGCAGCCTGATCAAGGGCAAGGCAAAATTGAAATGTGAAGGGCATAAGTACCCAAAGTTTTAGGAAGAATCATAATGCATGGATACTGAGTAAGTCCACTATGGGATTACTTGTTTATCATTTGCTGGATTCCAGTCAGGATCGAACAAGACTAATCGATTTCCTCCAATTAAATTGAGGCCACAGCCACCAGCCTTACTGCTCAGAGAAAAACGAACTCGTCCTGCAATATTTGAAATTTATATCGGGTCTACCTATTAATAAGCCCATATTGAGATTTATATCTCGGAGTCTGAGGTTGTTATCTACATCACATACAATGATTGGTCACAAATACCAAAACAATCAAGGCATCTCGTTTATCAGTTTGTAAGCAATTTACCTTAGATTGATCATTAAAGCGGTTTACTAACTTCTGCCTTTTACTGATTGATGTTGCACCATCAAGCCTCAAGTGCGGGTACCTTCGTTCCCGACACAACTGAGCAAAAAGATCCAGAGTCTGTTCCCCGGCGATAGATTGGCGCAGCAAACAAAAGTCATTGGGGAAATAAATTGGGAAAAAGAAGGAAATTGAGCCACATGGAATATTGACAAAAGTTAACACCTTGTTTCTAACAAGATTGTGGGTTGAAGGTTTGAACGTAATTATACCGATAACTAGAGCAAGTTATTATACTCCGGATTTAACTCAGAGAGATATAGTGATATTGAAAAGAGATAAGATGCAAATAATTTTGTGAATTATTGAAAGAGATATGGCATTGAAAGAACTGTGTTATAACCTTGAGTCATACTGACAATAAACATTAAAATGAACAAATATCTGTAGGTTAAACGGCATCCGCATCAAACGGCGTTTCAAAAAGGGTAACAGCGTAAACGCTTAATGGAATATAAATTCGACCATTAAGAAAATAAACGCTATCTGAACAGCATATGAAGTGACTGTAAGTAGAGTGTGCTTTGCTGGTTTGTCCATGAATAGGAATCTCCAATTGATATAAAACATGAGTAACCAGTCAACTAGTTCTATGCTTCGAAGAAGGTGCATGAAAATTCGATTCAATATTTAAATATTTTCTGTCTCTGAGCAATATTGCCCAAAGTAAAATTTCTACTCAACATCAGCCTCGCAAGCATCATAGTCCATCAAATATTACATGCAGCCTGAGTCAACTTATAGAACTAGTTCCCGTCTGGTATATAGCAGTTAAGTAAGACTGTCACATCAGGGAAAGGATATTGATATGACCTTGTCCTACTAGTTACATTGGAATTGGATAGCTAAAAAAGTGTACGTGAACGTAACGTTTTCACTTTTCTTTGTGGGGATGGGGGGGAGGGGAGCATATACCTGTGTGTAGTTTGAGACAAGGACAATGCGGTCATTAGTCCTTTGCCGTATCTGGGCAAGTAGTCTTGCTAAGACA